GAGGGGGTAGTTTTCCCCCAGGGGATACACTGAGCAGTGCCCAGGGACATTTTTGGCTCCACACTGGAGGTGGGTGAGTGGCGACCACAGATGCTGTAAACATCCTTCAATACACAGGACAGAGCATGCAACAGAAAATGATCTAGTCCAGGAAATCAATAGTATTAAGACTGAGAAAACCTAGGTTAAAGAATAAAATTATTTGTATTTATTTATAGCTGCCTTTGGATTGTTTTCCAATCTTGTTAACACTTTCTGTTTCTGCCAGCAAAATTAGAGCACAGCTTTTGCTACCAGTTTAAAATTTCCAACCAGTATGACTGCTCTTCAGGTCTTTTTCCCAGGCTGATGGGTGTGAAAGGCATTCCTTGCTTTCTTAAACTATTGCTCAGTTTAGCAGACTTTACATAGTTGTTCACCATTTTCATTTGCCTATTATTATTATATGCCCATATATTATTTGCCCATTTTTCTGAAGTTTTCAGCATTTCAAAAGATTTCTACAGATCATTGTTTCTCAATTGACTTTGGAGGATATTTTTTTGACCAAAATTTTTTATTTTATTTAAATATATCTATCTTCTTGCTTCTCAGTTTCTTGCTTTATTGGAGGTGGTTTTGCCACCTCTAAATTGTATATGTGGTTCTCTAGATGTCCATCTAAAATGCATTGGTTGCTCTTACATTGAAGGTGCATGTAATACCCCTGTTTTTTGTACGATGTCAGAGTGAGGGGACCAATTTCATATTCTCCCAGAGAGATAGCCATTCAAAAATCCACACTTTTCCACCTAAACTGAAATATAATCTTGTCATATTGTAAACGTCAATACATATTGAGACCAAATTATTGATTCATTCAACAATAATGACTGAAAATATTCTAGCAATATTATACATTTTATTTTATTTTAGTCTTTGAAATTTTAATTATTAATCTCTGTTGATATCATTAAATTACCCATTCTGGTGTAATCTGTGAGGCTGGGACTTAGAATCACATGGAAATAATACAACACAGGAGGCCATGGGGGG